ATGGTGAATAAAGCATTGTTCCAAAGAAAAAGACAAAGTCATGGGGGTTCGGCCACTGTGTCTTGACAAGAATGAATTAGGGCAAGTTGGAAGCAGTGCTTTGGAAGACAAAATGGCTAAATCTGCTGGTGTCAGCGTTACAGAACTGGTTTTCAAAGCTGAACATTCGGGCAAGCAGCTAAACGCATAGTTGAAAAACATATACATGAATTATCCTACCTGGCCAAGGATTTGTAATGGTGTTCGGTTTTGTGATTTAGACAGCAGAGGCGGTCTGTGACCAAACACTGCAGTTAAGCTGTAAAGTTTGGTCACCAGCCTGCTCCTAACCTGGATTGGACAATGAAGGAGAAGCAGAACACCAATGATGTCATCACTCCTCTCTCTACTCCTATAAGCATATTCAGCACTGGCGGAACTACCAGGGTCGCAAGTGCGACCGGGCCCTGGCGTTGATTTGCTGATTTCACTCTAAGCCCTGCCCCTGGAATTGACTTTCACCCACATTTTATTCCTCTGCTCAAATCAGAGACAATTTATTAGCTGCAGTGCCCTCTCATTGGACAGGAGGATGGTTGGATGAGCAGGGATTGGCTGCAGAGGTCACAGCTTAGCTGAAAAGTCAGGAAAGTCGAGGACATTTAAAGGAGAACCATGAGGTGAGTGAAAATCACTCAGCCTCATAGTTGGAGCCGACGTGTGACAATGAAACTGTACCCTGCCAGCTGTACCTGCCCCTCCCCCATCCGTGCTGAAGGATCGGGGAGGGGGGGGGGGGGAAACCCTGTAGGGAGCCGTGACTGACAGTCACAGCTCTCTGCAGGGAAATGATCGAGAAGTGAGCGAGCGACGGTATGTGTTCGCTCACTTCCCGATTTATTGATCCTGAACTATGAGGATGAGTGAAAATCACTCGCCTCATACCTCTCCTTTAAAAGGATAAGTATGGAGGTGAGTGAAAATCACTCAGCCTCATAGTTCTAGCCGACCTGTGACAATGAAACCGTCACACGTCGGCTCAATAGATCGGGAAGTGAGCGAACACATACAGTCGCTCGTTCACTTCTCGATCCTGTCCCTGCAGAGAGCCGTGACTGTCACTCACAGCTCGCTGCAGGGATTCCCCCCTCCCCTGTCTGATCCTCCAGCGCTGACTGGCGGAACGGACGGGGGAGGGTACTGCTGGCTCTCCCTCTGGATAGCCAGAGCCAGCTGTCAATCACGCAGCTGGGTGGATCTCGACAGTAATGTCGGGATCTGTCCCGGCTGCGGCGGTCTCAGTATACCGCGAGCTGCAGCTCGCGGTATACTGAGCTTTGGGTCACAGGAGGATGCTAGTTTGTGTCCTCCCGTGACCCTGAGGAGAACTATGGGGAAAGGCACTGACACCATAGTTCTCCTTTAATCAAAAATCAGAGAAGAGGAGGTTTCTTTGTCTAACAAAGGTAATACAACAAATATTTTGTCCACACAGAAAGGCAGAGAAATGTAAGTAAAGACATCCCTCCTAAAAAGTTATAGTGGCTTGCACGCTCCGTGCTTTCCCATGTAGTAAAGATGAGCTGGTTCGGGTCTGCTGGCTCCTCATCTGTCTGGTGGTGGAGTAAACACTGAAGAACTTCTCAAAGTCTTCAAATACACAAATGGCAGAGCAGATCTAGGCCAACTAGAAGTAACAGCTTTTTTTTTTATTTATAAATTCTTTATTTAGAACATTTGCAAAAAACACAAATAAGATATGAAGAGTCAATCAAGGCAACATCGAAAAGTCAAAAGACAGGGTTATAGTACAGTACAGGCACTTAATGGCAGGAATATAAGGTTCGTGCAATAGATCAAATATGCATAAATGGTGTGCCCTTGGGCTCAATTATAAACATATCCAGAACCAAAAGAGCATGCTGAGGAGACATGTATGGGTATATGACAGCAGAACATTAAGGGGATAAACAGGTAATAAAACATCCATCCAAAGTGGGGGAGGTCATATGAAGCACGTTTAGCACATATGAAGTAGATGAACAGAGAAGAGGAAAAAGAAGGCTTAGGAAGTACGGGATCAGAGAGAAGAAAAGCTACAGAGAGGAACAGCGGGGGAAAAGCAAAGGTCAAATGGGGGTGGGCCTGACCCCTCCCCCTGTGGTACATGGCGTGGTCCTACCTAAGGGACAAGTATTCAGAGGACCGGAGGAACTCCATCCGGTAAAAGCAAGTGTGTTTGAGTGAGCTCCTCCATGGAGGTAGATGTCTTGCATGCGATCAAGGACATAACAAATGCTGGGGGGGTTCATGTTTCCTCCACAGGACAGGAATACAAGCTCGAGCTGCGTTAACTATGTGTCTCACAACCGAGTGTTTGCTAGTACGCATGGGAATAGAATTGTGGTGAAGTAAGAAGGCTGGGTCTTGATGTACCTGGAGGTCTGAAAATTTCTGAGTGAACCTATGGTCTCACTAGGGGGTATGTTGCCTTGACATTGCTGTCAGTATTGGCAGAACACCAGTTATCAAGCATTAGACCTTTCCTTATGAAGGTCTAGATCCGAAAACCATCCAGCTAGTCAGCAACGCAGATAAATAACCAAAGGACAGAGCTGTTGTTCAGGTTTTAAATTTAAAAAAAAGGATTTTCAAGAAAACAATATTCTCCTCATTTCTTTGACTATGCAGAACATTTCTTCCGTCGCACCCCCTTGCTTTTCCGTTAGAATGAGCTATATCATCGGATTTTACCTTCAATGCCATCTCCAGGTGAATCCTGGTATAACTCTTCCCCCATTCACAAACAATGACACTCTACAACAGTGGTCGCTGGAGGTCCGCGAGAAAGTTTTGGATCCCTCCTGTCAGCGTACGAGTAAGCTCACCTACACGGACCTGCACTTGAGGTGAGCGTAGGGGGGCGTGCGGCGACGTAGTACCATAGAGAAGGACGGGAGCTGCGTACTAATCACATGCAGCACCTGTCCTTCCTGGGAGCTGCTCGATACGGCCATGCACACAGCACGGAGCTGTACGTGTCGGCCGATTCCTGTGTGAATGGGGCCTAAGGCACTTTTCCTTCACTTCCTGTCAGGATAGGAATTTGTGTAAAATCTTGGCAACGGACAAGGGATAGAACCTTTGACATGCTATTGGTGTCTGTGCCTTTCTGTCCCATTGACAACAGTACACCCAAATAAGTGTCATAGGAACAGGAAACATTTAACCCAGTAGGGCCACAAATAGCTCTATCCTAAGGGAAAAAAAAAAAAGAATGGCTGGAGTTAGGCTTCATTCACACCTGTTTCACAAGTGAACGAGCGACGCGTTTTACCACGTTTGTCATGTGTTGGCATAAGGCAGTCTCAGCATATGGCAGCGCATTCATTTCAGTGGGCTGCTATTTGAATGACCAATGTGAGCTGCAAACTTCGCACATTTTTTTCCCACTGTCTTGGCACTGCAAGCTGCACTTGGAGAGCCAATAACAAATAATGGTACCACAAGCACGACACGCGATTTTCTCTCGTCCTCGGAACATGTGCGAAATCATGCAATTTTGCACATGTTCACCCGTGCGGCTACTTTCTGAATGAGGCTTAAGGTCTAATCCTCCAATATAATTACTGGCAGGATAAAGAGGACAGCTGTGTATGGGGGTTGTGGGTACATTTTGAGATATCCTACAAAATTAGGGCTGCAGCAAACGATTATTTCCATAACCGATTAGTTGGCCGATTATTTTTTTCTATTAATAATTTCGATAGAATAAAAAAAATGAATAGTCGTTTATTTAACATGAAATACACAAATGCAGCATTACAGACAACGTTTACTTCACAATAAAACGGTATGCACATGTTTTGAAATCGCACTGCACTGGAACGCAGGGCATTGCAGAAACGCACGTTTTAGTGCGGGCGATCACACTGCGGACGGGAGGTGAATTAGGGATCCATTGAAATGAATGGCACCGCAGCGCACCTCGCGCAGTAGAATTTGTCGGGCCAAAACATTTTGACCAACTTTTATATATTTTTTTATGCTTGTATGTATGATATTAGACATTTTAATTCGTTTCATGGATGTAAAATAACGCGAATTGTAAAACTCTAAGTCAATATAATAAAATAACCAACCTTTTATTTAAAATAACACACCAATAAAACTTTTTTTGTGTTTTTAATTTTAGTTTATTTAACTTTATTTTTTTTTTTTGCAATTATAATTTGTATTTAACTTTTTTTTTTAAATGTCTTTTAGAAAGACACAACGGGAAGGAACGGGCACCATCGGAGGCACAGCAGGGGGGGGAACGGGCATATTTAGAGGCACAGCAGGGAGAACTGGCAGCATTGGAGGAACAGCAAGGGGAATGGGTGCAGTAGAGGCATAGCGGGGGGAACGGGCAGCATCGGAGACATGGGTGGAAGAAATGGGCACCATCGGTGACACATCGGGAGGGAACGGACCCCATCGGAGGCACAACAGGGGGGGAACGGGCAGATTTAGAGGCACAGCAGGTGGAACGGGCAGCATCGGAGGAACAGCAGGGGGAATGGGTGCAGTAGAGGCATAGCGGGGGGAACGGGCAGCATCGGAGACATGGGTGGAAGAAATGGGCACCATCGGTGACACATCGGGAGGGAAAGGAGAAACCGAGGTGCAGCGGGAGCACAAGCAACTAATTGCAAAATCAACTAATCGATAATGAGAATAGTTGACAATGATTCTCTATATCGATTTTATTGATTCGTTGTTGCAGCCCTATACAAAATGTCTTCACGGTAATAAAATCTTTAAATTATTATTAGACTTTGGACATAAGCTCTTTTTCTCACAGTAGTCATGTTCCCTAAAAACCCATGGAGACCAGACATGAGCACCAAACACCAGGACTACCAAATTTGCATTTACACTAGATTCTGCAACCAATAAGGCACTTGAGGTGACAAAGATGAACTCTGATTGACTGGAAGTTGGGCTTATCTCACTCTTCTGGACGTGGAAACCTTCATTTGGACAACTATGATTTCCTGTGTCATGTCTCCTTATCGTCACTCTTGGGCATCTTGCCTTTCTTGATTTTCGGTGTAAACCCACTGGAATATTCAGAATTGACCAGATCTGAAAAGTGCGTCTTCTTCCTGACTAATTTGTGCCCATCAGCCCTGTAAAAGAAAAAAACAAACCAAAACCATAAGGTTTACCTGCCAATGTAGCTCCTTGTAACCAGATACCAGCCTGCTCTGCAGTGTGCCCCGTGTAGATGCCAGGAGCACAAGTTGCAAATATTTAAAGGGAATCTTTCATCAAAATGCAGTCTTCTTATTAGTTAGACCCACACCCCCATATAATAACACCACGTGAGGAGAAAACATATTGCACTCAACTTCAGCTTCCACTCTAGGGGATGGTGACATTATAGTCCTTCCTGAGAGAACCCGGGAATGGAAAGGATCCCAAATCTTGTGAGAGGACATTACAACACACAGCACTAGAACACCATCTCATTGGCATCAGGGATTCTGACCATTCCTTAAAAGGAGAACTATGAGGGGGGTGCTTTTCACTCATCCTCATAGTTCTAGCCGACCTGTGACAATGAGACTGTCACAGGTCGGCTCAGTAGATCGGGAAGTGAGCGAACACATACCGGCATTCGCTCACTTCTCGATCTTGTCACGACACAGAGCCGTGACAGGGGAGGGACTGGATTCCCCCCTCCCCGCGGACGGGGGGCTGTAGCTCGCGGTATACTGAGCTTAGGGTGACTGGAGGACGCTACTTTGTGTCCTCCAGTTACCCTTAGAACTATTGGGAAAAGCCCTGACCCCATAGTTCTCCTTTAATGGTTGATGTGATCATTATTAATTTACATTTTAATTAAACGTCTATGTATTGTAGATACTTATCTATTATCCATATTCTCCTGAAGAAGAGAATGTGGTTCATTAAATGAGTCATTACAATTCCTCAAGTTACAGCAAATACATATGTATGTTTCAAGTGTATGACCATAAAATGTCTATGGTGGGATTTATATAAAGGGAGGTATTGTAAACATTAGCGGTACCAACCCTGAAGCTGGCTTTTATGTCGTAATTGTAATGTGATTTATTGATAAATAAGTGATGTTATCTCAATCTCTCATCTCAGAATATCACCCAAACTGTCCTCTCTGCTCCTCTCAAGACCTCCTGCTCTCCAATTACCTCCTCCCATGCTCGCCTCCAGGACTTCTCCAGAGTGTCCCCCATCCTCCGGAAACCCCTTACCCCAATCTGTCCACCTATCTCCTCCACTGCCCACCTTTAGGTGATCCTTAAAAACCCATCTCTTCATTGAAACCTATCTCATCTCAACATAACTGTCCTTTACTTATTTCAATAACTCAATCCAAACAATTACCTTTTGTATCACTTGCCCCTCCTACTAGATTGTAAGCTCTCACAAGCGGGGCCCTCCTAACCCTATTGTACTGAAATTGTATTGTATTGTAAATTGTATTGTGACTGTACTGTCGCCTTCATTTTGTAAAATGCTGAGCAAATTGTTGGCGCTATATAAATCCTGTATAATAATAATAATGATGATATCCTATATGAGTACATATATCCAAAGTTCCAGTATTTGTTTTAGTAATTGTTTTTGAAAAAGTTTTATTGTACTGCGTGAATAAAAACTACAATAAAAAAAACTACAATATAATAAAACAAAAACAATTATTTAATAAAACAACTTAAAACTTAAAGTTTTTATATTTATTGATTTTATATTTATTCTCTTATATTTATTCTTTCATATTTATTTTATTTTATATTTATTGATTTTATAGTGATTCTTTTATATTTATTGATTGCACTGTTTACACTCTGCGATTCTGCGTGGACTACATGTGTGCGCTTTATAAGGATTTTATGCAATGTGTTGTATATATATTATATAAAGTGTTTTGCACTGCACTTATTTATTTCCATTCGCCCAACAGATATAAATTGAATGATAATAGTTTGTTGTGTTTTTTTAGCAGAACCATTGTGACAGGAAGTGGAGAGCTAATCTGACAGGTCAGGTGTCACGGCCGCCCTCTATACAGCACAGCTGTCAAGCACAGGTAAAACAGACTTGATCAATAGCTTATAATCCCCTATTAATTAGTGCGCGGCGGCGGACCGCACAGTTGCATGGCCTGAAGAGGTGACCACGCTGGGAGGGAGTCCCTCGCAGTTGTGTTACAAAAAAATGCTATGGTGTGTTGGGCGGTGACTCAGATGTCAGGTCAAAGGTACTCTACTAAATTCTTCTAATCACCTAATTACCAGGCATGCACCTACCTGTCACAACAAAGGCTTGAGGGATGGATGAGCCAGACTAGTGGGGCAGGAAGCTTGTTAGCCTCCTACGGCTGTGTGAAATAATACAGCCTCCGATCACAATGTTAACTAACCACTTAGGACTTCTTGATGTGCATGAGCCAAAACGCATATAAAGAGTTAATCAAACCTGTGCTTAATATATAGTCTGCTTCTGTAGATCTTCTGAGAATGATATCTGCCAGGCAATCATGTGATCCTGGATTTATTTATTACAGGTATTTATACTGCCGATATTTTACGCAGCGCTTTGCATGCTATTCCTTCATATCAGTCCCTGCCCTCAAGGAGCTCACAATCTAAGGTTCCACATACTTATCCATACCTGGGCCAATTTAAACAAGGGCTTCATAACCTACCCGCATGTATTTGGAGTGTGGGAGGAAACTGGAGTACCCGGAGAAAACCCACAAGAGCACAGGGAGAACATACGCACTCCATGCAAATAGTGTCCTGTCTGGGATTTGAACCCGGGGACTGCATAGGCTGCTCTGTATCATCAATAGTCACCAACTTAGAAGGCACATGCAGAAAGTAAAACCAGGGAGGAGTCAGGACTTCCGACCGAACATACTTGTTCTCGGTTAGCGATGTCAAGCTGAACTCTGGGCACAAAAACTTTCGTGTATATGTTCAATTCATCCCCACACAGCTACCTCCTCATGTATCACTTCCCCCTCCCTTTTAGATTGTAAGCCCTCAGGGGCAGGGCCCTCCTTACCATCTTGTCTTGAATTGCATTGTGATTGTAATCTTCCTTATATTGTACAGCGCTGCGCAAGCTGTTGGCGCTGTATAAATCCGGTATAATAATAATAATAATAAAATGTTCCTCAATAAACACAAAGGATATAAATCCACTTTGTGTGCACCAAATGTCTTTGTAAACTCAGACATTGCCTTGTAAAAAAATTAGTGATGACATCATCACTATCTTGTGCAAACAGCAGAGCTGTGGAAAGGATACAGCTGACAACCTCTACTACAGACTGCGGTGGGGACAGAGACAAGACCAGTCACCCTGCACAAGTAGAGAGAGCAGCAGTGACCGGTCTTTAGTACAGGAAGCTCCTGCACAGAGGTAAAGTTTCACACTGGATTACTGCTCAGGTATGGAAGAAATACACAAAGCTCACCAAGATTCAAGAATGCAAATGACTCTTGTATTTACACAATAATTGCTTATCCTGGAGTCCAGCTTTAAAGCGACATTAAACATATATTACCAAAAGTATTGGGACGCCGGCCTTTACACGAACATGAACTTTAATGGCTTCCCAGTCTTAGTCTGTAGGGTTCAATATTAAGTTGGCCTAGCCCTTTGACGCTATAACAGCTTCAACTCTTCTGGGAAGGCGTCCACAAGGTTTAGGAGTGTGTCTATGGGAATGTTGGACCATTTGTGAGGTCAGGTACTGATGTTGGATGAGTAGGCCAGGCTCGCAGTCTCCGCTCTAATTCATCCCAAATGTGTTCTATCGGGTTGAGGTCAGGACTCTGTGCAGGCCAGTCAAGTTCCTCCTCCCCAAACTCGCTCATCCATGTCTTTATGGACCTTGCTTTGTGCACTGGTGCGCAGTCATGTTGGAACAGGAAGGGGCCATCCCCAAACTCCTCCCACAAAGTTGGGAGCATGAAATTGTCCAAAATGTCTTGGTATGCTGATGCCTTAAGAGTTCCCTTCACTGGAACTAAGGGGCCAAGCCCAACCCCTGAAA